ATGTAAGCGACTCAACATGTGTGTGTGTGTGTGTAACTCGGCAGTATGTAAGCGACTCAACATGCATGTATGTGTGTGTAACTCGGCAGTATGTAAGGGACTCAACATGCATGTGTGTGTGTATGTAACTCGGCAGTATGTAAGAGACTTTAACTTTTTTCACAACATGCATGTGTGTGTGTGTAACTCGGCAGTATGTAAGCGACTCAACATGCATGTATGTGTATGTAACTCGGCAGTATGTAAGGGACTCAACATGAATGTGTGTATGTAACTCGGCAGTATGTAAGGGACTTTAACTTTTTTCACAAAAGTTTAGAGGTGTTAAAAGAGTTGAATACTTTTTTTCATACAGAGTTGTATGTGAACTATAAAAAGTCTATCTTCGGGTATGGAAATATGTTTTGGAATAATCTATTTTAGATATGTCGGTCATTTGATATTGAAGACTTATAGCACTAAAGGATTAAGTAGTGTTCAATGTAAGTGTATATGTTAAAAACGTTTTTTTTACTATAATTTGAATATTATTAGTGAATAAAACAACTATGACGTTGTTACTGTTTTAATGTGGCTGTTTTTCTATCTTTCCTTCTTCAGGGCAGCTTATGCCACCTCCAGAACAAGAATTAGCCACCAAAGTTCTCCAGATACAATCCAAACGATTTTACTTGGATGTTAAACAGAATAGGAGAGGAAGATTTATCAAGGTTGCTGAGGTATGATGTAATTAGTTTATTTTCCAGTAAATTAACTAAAGAATTTTTAAGAGTAAACCGTTCACTAAACTCTTGATTTTTACCTAATGTTCTATACGAAGCAGTAGAGGTGACTCTGAATTAGAAAACCCAAAACAACTGTAAACAGGATAGATGTTATTGCTATAAACAAATCATAGACTGTCTCTTCCTGGGTGGAGAGATCACCACTTCTACCAAATTGAATTGAAATCGCTGTCAGAGAAAGTTTACAAAGAAAAAATATACAATATGTTATTAAGTATTTAAAATTTTTTTTTGAGGAAACTTAAGTTGCAAATAATGCCTATTATCTTGAAATAACAGGCAATTTGTGATTTTTTTTGTATATAGTCCTACTATACTAGTCTAGATGTGGAAATAGTAAACAGAAAATAAGCCCAGCAATGGTAAGGTGAAATTTTATGTTCAGGGAGAGACGTACTTAGATTTTCATAACAAAGTTAATTCTTATAAGGAGTTTTCTTTTGGTTATAATTAAAGTTTTTTTTAAACTTCGTCTGTATATTTTTGTCACCAAGGTCACTTTAATTTGTATTGAAGTTTATGATAAATTCAGTACTTAGCAGTATCAATGACAGTTTCTTTATTTCAGCTACTTGTCATATTTCTGACATGCTGGGTGAAGTTAAACCTTATTGTACTGGTGCTTAGATCATTGCTAGTCAATGGCATATAAAAAGAATTAGGCTAATTTTTTGGGTTTTATAAAATGGTCATGTTTTAAAGGATTAAAATTAATACCCGTAATCAATGCTTTTTCATTAGTTTGTCCAGCTTGTCGGCTTTAGACTCTTCTATTTAAAGTAAACACTTCTATTATGTTAACTCTCAATATGGATTTAATTTAACTACTTTTATCACTTTAATAATTAAAGTTGGTGTAGAGTTAAAATAAGCATTTTTTGTCACTTTAATAAAAGTGGTATAGAGTTAAAATAAGCACTTTTGTCACTTTAATATTTTAACTCTATACCAATTTTAAGCACTTTTGCCACTTTAACAAAATTGGTATAGAGTTAAAATAAGCATTTTTTGTCACTTTAACAAAACTGGTAGAGTTAGAATAAGCATTTTTTGCCACTTCAACAAAACTGATATGTAGAATTATACACAGACATTTTTCTACATTAAAATTCTTTTATTTGCGAGCTTTCAACACTCTTACTGGAGGCTTCATCAGGCAATAATGTACTCAGCAATAAAAATTTGTTTAACTCTAGAGCACTATTTTAAAATAGGTATCTAGACAACAGTCATAACAATAACTGAGATCTAGTATTAAAGTTATTAAATGTATAGAATTATGATGAATATAAGTCGTTTGTTTCGATATAATAAACGTACAGTTATAGGTATTGTAGAGAGAAATAGAAATAAAGGAATTTTTCAATTTCAAATAATAAATTAAAATATTAAGGGTTTAATGGAATTAAAATAAGCACCTTTGTTACTTTAACAATCAAAATGGATTTGAAATAAGCACCTTTGTTACTTTAACAATCAAAATGGGTTTGAAATAAGCACCTTTGTTACTTTAACAATCAAAATGGGTTTGAAATAAGCACCTTTGTTACTTTAACAATCAAAATGGGTTTGAAATAAGCACTTTCATTTCTATATCTGCTCCAGTAAGCATCTTTAACTTCTCTGTCTGCCTTAATTCTAAACCCAGTTGTGACATAAGAGAATCAAGTCCTTGGTAAAATGGTCAGGCTAGTTGGGCGGAGGGAAGATCTCTTGGTTTTTCTGTTGTTGGTGGAAGATTTAAGAATCATTTGTGTTTGATTAAGGTAAACGGTATTTTAAACACAGTAACTTTAAAGTGGTTTAATGTTTTGTCAAAAAAGATTTTCATAAATTTGTAGGTCTGACAGTAAGTTTTATTACGACGATAATCTTTCTGTTTAATGAACTTGGATATCTGTTCTTCGGAAAGAAACATGTTTTAAACAGTTGTTGAGTTTCAGTAAGTGTCAGAACACATGAGATGTTTGAAGCAGTTGGTGATAACAAAAGAAATTCTCCTTACTTCTTTAGCACTGGACCACTTCAAGACAATGGTGCTGTCCAAATAAAGTAAATATTTCCAGCTGTGGAGAGTTATAGTGTTTTTCTGTATGAACTAACTTTCATGGATGGTAAATGCTACAGCCACTCATGACGTGTATATGCGTACTGTTTGTGTAGGCCTTTACTCAGATCTTTATATTGAGTAACAGAATAAATCATGTCTACAAATTCACCAGATTTAAGAATTCATATAAATGCTCAAAACTGGTGTATGAACTCTCCTATCTACATGTGGAACTGGTACAGGGATTACCAGTTGCTTGTTGAACTGCAAATATAATCCTAGTCAGCTGTTTTGGTTGTTTCAGTTTTATAATGTGAAATGTAGTTATTGATGTATGTTTTTTTAATTAAATTTATGTGTGTTAAAATAGTTTCCATTCAAATGTTAGCAACCACATCATTGTTGTTTTCTGAGTTCACGCTTACTTAACCAGTTCTTCTGTGTATAGGAATCATTAGGTTTGTGAAGCAGAGCGTGCAGTTTTTATACCTGTTGCCACTTTTGTGATGAATATTTGTAAATTGTTTGTTTAGGTTGGTCCTGCAGGTAGAAAAAGCCGTCTATTATTTGCTATGTCCACAGCTTTAGAACTAAGGGACCATCTGACGTCTTTTAGTGAAATCTACGCTTCACTGGGTAAGTAGAGACGGTGCGTCATTTGCTGTGAAAATACTGTTTGACTACATAGAGTAGTGTAACGTAGTTATGTGTATACATCGTATAACACAAGCTCACACACTGCTTGTCTTCACTTCCAAAACATACATACTTCCGTTGACACTTATTTTACGATCTTCGTCCAAACATCGTGATCGCTAGCTCCAGTATTTATACCCCACTCGACTGCCCTGGCAATATCTAGTTTGCCAAACTTTACACCGGCCCTCGCGCGCCCTCTATGCATGTACCGTATGTCGACAATATAATCACTTTTTTTTTCTCGACAAAGCGCTAGCACTAGGAGTTATGTTTTGTGGTTGACATGTTCTTTTTAAGCATTTTGACAGTAGTCTGGTGTGCTTTTTTCCCCCCATTGCCGATATTTCTTTGGTTTTCTTTTGCCATTCACAAAACATAAATAAAAAAATGTTAAAAAATGCAGGTATGAATTCCCATGTAACGGTTTCTGGCATGTGGGTTAACCAGACCTCGACCATTCCTCCTTTGTTGTCTGGTGGTAGTCGGGGTAGGGTCATCTCTCGGTGGAGAGGCTTTCCCTGACCTGATTTGGGATGAGTTGGAGCCTTTCATGCGGTTCGAGAGTTCAGAGTTGGCTTTTAATCATGAACGTGAATATACTGGGGAGAATTTAGACACTGTTTTCTGCTCCTTCTTTCATTAGGGCTCATCTGAACGGCCACCTTCTGCCTCTTTTCTGCAGTTAGTTACGCAAGTTTGTGAAGCTTTGAGGATTCACCTCCTTGCTTTTGAGTCTACCCTGCCTTGATGTCAGATACATCTTGGGGGGATTACTTAGTTCTTCCTCATTCCCCTGATATTGCCGTGTATGCTGGGAAGTTTGCAATGCAATTATGAGAGAGTATTGCTATGCCTTGCTCCTCTCGTTTATCAGAACAACATACCCTGGCTTATCATTGTCTGACTGTAGTATATTTGGACACTCATCAGTTGGATTTGTTGTTGGATCAATGAGTTTCCAGGTTAGAACCTGTTATCCCTCTTACCAGATCTCCATTTTCGTGGATTCATTTAACTCTTAATACTGTATTGTGATACTCCTCTTCCTGATTTCCGGGAGGCGCCCCTTTTTGGCCTTTCTAATTTGTCGGAGTCCCTGAAACTTTCGAAGCCCGATTTTATATGGCATGTTTGCAGTTTTCTTTATCGTCATTGGCTGCTCACCTATCTTCTACTCCAACGGGTAATTCTGGAGGATCGATCATTCACGTCTCGTGGCCTCCACCTTCGACACCTCGTCCTATTGGTTTACAGAATCGGTTCCGTCCATATTCTCGGGGATCTTCAGAAGGTCGGGATGGCACCAGTGGCATTGGTGTCTTCTACCCACTCAGAAGGTCGATCCCATGCATCCAGGATTCTATTCTATTCTTTTTCTGGGGACCAAGAACATCTTGTCATCAATCTGTCTCGACTCAAACTTCAATGGCACTTCACACCAGGTTTTTCGATGACCAAGTTTGATGTTGCAGACGCCTACCTTCACATCCCCATAGCAGAGTCTTCGCGTCTGTTTCTACATTTTTTGCACGAGAACCAGATGTAGCAGTTCCAAGCTCTCCCATTTGGACTTGCTTCAGCACCATATGTTTTCTGCCAAGTAGTACGGGTCTATGCACACATTGCTATATGGAAGATTGACTTCTTTTGCACCAACCTGTCACATTACATCCACAGATTCTCCTTTCCGACACCAGAAATGCAGACTTCATATCAGGTTGGACAAATCCATTTTCTCACCAACTCTATACATGGTCCATCTTGGGCTATTTTTCATTGCACATTGAGTTGAGCTCAACCTTCTCCCCTCAGACTTCACGCTAGGGAAGGGATTGTCAGGCATTTGCTTATGTCACCTTCTCCCACTGCATGTATGGTTCTGTCGGTTTGGAGGATTTGGGCTTCCCTAAAATCTCTCATATGATTGAATCAGGCCCATATGAGATTCATTCAGTGGTCATTTCGTGGCCAGTGGTTCATGCATACTGATCTTTACTCTTTGCTCAAACAATTTGCAGATCTCAAGTGGTGGCTAGACAGGGACAACACGAATGTATGGCCGGTATGTGGACCTCTCCCAACACTTTCCTATCTCATTACCTTCATGATCTGGCAGTTTCCTCTTCTTTGGGATTTTTGCCCCCCCCCCTTCATGTGTGTGTTGACTATCTCTGCTAGATTTTAACAAATGGGTGTATAACTTTCTTACCTGATTAACAGTTTTTTTTTCTTCTAGGGTTCCTCTTTAGTTCCTTTGGAGCCCACTCAGTGGCAAATGTTGCCCAGTCAGGTGTGCTTGTATTTTTTTCAATTCCACACTAGCAACCTTTATGTTGGTTCATGGTTGCAACTGGCTCTGTTGAGATGAGGTGTTCCATAAGACCATCTAGATGCAATTCCGGATGGTAGTATTATGTCACAATACAAATCCAATGGACCGCTACTCATGGACTATCATGAGTATAGCTAAAGGGGATTTTGCCAGTCCCTGCTGATCTTAGAGCTGAATCAGTTGAGCTTGGTTTGCTTTTAAAACTTAGGGAACGTGGTTCACCACCCTTTTCACTCTTCTATAGTTCTGGGTGTAGAGCATACCTGTTCTGGATGTAGTGTGGTTTTCCCTGCTTGGGTACCACTTCTCGTGGTACACCTTTGTTCTATGCAGATGCTTTCTGTGTGAACTATGCCCTCACCAGCCCCTTTGCCTTCTCTATGTGGGATTATAGCTGTAAGTGTCAGTGGAGTCATGTATGTTTTGGAAGTTATTTTCCTAATCTGAAAATGTATTTCCAAACATGCTTACCTCCACTGACACTCTCTCTCTCTCCCTTCCTCCCCACTAAGAGCCAGTGTTAGTGATCGGGATGGGGTAAATCTCAAAAATGTGATTTTATTGTCTGCATACAATGCTTATATACAGCACCTGCATAGAGGGCGTGTGAGGGCCGGCGTAAAGTTTTGCAAATTATATATTGCCGAGGGAAGTCGAGTGGGGTATATAAATACTGGAGCAAGCGAACACGATGTTTAGATGAAGATCGAGAAATAACTATAGTTCTACAGTATCATTCAATAGTTCTCTTTCAACAGTCACAGTTCTACAGTATTATTCAATAGTTCTCTTTCAACAGTCACAGTTCTACAGTATCATTAAATAGTTCTCTTTCAACAGTCACAGTTCTACAGTATCATTCAATAGTTCTCTTTCAACAGTCACAGTTCTACAGTATCATTCAACAGTTCTCTTTCAACAGTCACAGTTCTACAGTATCATTCAACAGTTCTCTTTCAACAGTCACAGTTCTACAGTATCATTCAACAGTTCTCTTTCAACAGTCACAGTTCTACAGTAGAACAAATCAAATGTTTGCTGACAGTAACCGAGAAACTGGCTGTGTAACAAGTACTCATTTAACAGAGTACAAATCTTAATATTTTTGTGTAATTTAGTTAAAACTGATAAAACAAATTCATATCTATACTTGCTGGGCAACATTTATATGTAAGCACAGAAAACACTAAGTAAATATTATATTTCAATGCTGCAACAGAGACAATAATTATAATTTGATGTTCCACTGATTAATAACTTAATAAACAAACTGTATTTTTCTGTTTGTACATGAAATTTACTAAGTAACAAAATGAACTTTGACTACATAAAGTAGTGTAATGCAGTTATGTGTACTTCATATAACACAATCTCACACATCTTCATTTCCAAAACATACATACTTCCGCTGACACTTAGTACATGAAATCAGTGAAAATAAAAATTTACTAAGTAACAAAATGAACTTTGACTACATAAAGTAGTGTAATGCAGTTATGTGTACTTCATATAACACAAGCTCAAACATCTTCATTTCCAATACATACATACTTCCGCTGACACTTATGACTGTTGAAAGAGAACTATTGAATGATACTGTAGAACTGTGACTGTTGAAAGAGAACTATTGAATTATATGGACAGAAGATGTTCTGAACAACTGATTTTATAAACTGTTTCTGTTATAAACCACTAATGGTTATTCTGGAGACATTTATATTATTTCTTTCGTATAAACACTAAAAGGAAATTGAATTAAGAGACAGTAACTAAAATTATATTTGTTTTAACACAAAAATATGATACCCCATAACCCAAAAGCTTCCAATAGGTGAACCTTTAGAAAACACCTGGGTTAAAGGGTATCATATTTTTGTGTTAAATTGATTTCTTGAACCTGTGTTTTTCTAACATCATAAAATTATATTCAGGTTTATTTATCCATACATAAATTATAACCATAACTATACAACAGTTAACGAAAGTTATTCTGACCATTTCACTGTCAGCAATTTGTCACTGCAAGCAGATAATGTATGGAACCGTAATTCTGAATTATCCATTCTGAACATCAAATAAGTTTTTAAACTGTGTGAAAACTAAAATGTTTTCTCCTCATGCAGATAACTTTGTAAATTTTTTTTAGAACATTCTCTGAGAAATTAGTTTCTTATATTTTGGTCCATCAGGTCCACCTAATCCAGATAACTTGCCTGAAGATGGAAAGTTAAAAAGTGAAGTGATGATGAAGGAAAACAGAAGGTATTATCTTGACCTCAAGGAAAACTCCAGAGGAAGATTTTTACGAGTAAGCATTGATAAAATTTCAAGTTTTGAACTTAATTGGACAGAATATCTGTCTGAATGTATAATTTTCTCAATCTTTCTCAAAAGAACATCAGGTTATTGTAGCAGTCTAGTTTTCTTTCATACGTCTCTCCAATTTGATAACAAAATGAGGTGATGAATATGATACTGAGAGTAAAAACAAACGTTTTTAATCTTAGTCATTTGTGATTACAACATAATCCATCTTCAGCTGTTGTCAGCACATATTGTCTTGTTTTAAATTCTTGTGAAAGTCGAAATCACCTAACACGTAATTGAAACACGATCAGTTATCGATAAAATATGAAATGGGCTCATCCCATTCTCGTCACATGTATGATCTATGGTTGATTCAATTCTCTTTACATATATCTGACATGTGGTTGATCCCATTTTCTTCACAGGTGTCTGGCTTATGGTTGATTCCATTCTCTTCACAGGTGTCTGGCTTGTGGTTGATCCCATTCACGTGAATGGGATCAACCACAAGCCAGACACCTGTGAAGAGAACTGGATTAGCCCTGGGTTAGACACACATAAAGTGAATGGGATCAACCACATGTCAGACACACATGAATTTATGTGTGTCTGACATATGGTTGATCCCATTTTCTTTATGTGTGTCTAACCCGGGGCTAATCCAATTCTCTTCACAGTTGTCTGGCTTGTGGTTGATCCCATTCACTTCATGTGTGTCTGACATGTGGTTGATCCCATTCACTTCATGTGTGTCTAACCCAGGGCTAATCCAATTCTCTTCACAGTTGTCTGACTTGTGGTTGATCCCATTCACTTTATGTGTGTCTGGCTTGTGGTTGATCCCATTCTCTTCACACATGACTGACCTGTGGTTGATCCCATTCACTTCACACATGACTGACATGTGGTTGATCCCATTCACTTCACACATGACTGACCTGTGGCTGAACCCATTCACTTCACACATGACTGACCTGTGACTGATCTAATTCTCTTCACACATGACTGACCTGTGGCTGATCCCATTCTCTTCACACATGACTGACCTGTGGCTGATCTAATTCTCTTCACACATGACTGACCTGTGGCTGATCCAATTCTCTTCACACATGTCTGACCTGTGGTTGATCCCATTCTCATCACACATGACTGACCTGTGGCTGATCCCATTCTCTTCACATATGACTGACCTGTGGTTGATCCCATTCTCTTCACATATGACTGACCTGTGGTTGATCCCATTCTCTTCACACATGACTGACCTGTGGTTGATCCCATTCTCTTCACACATGACTGACCTGTGGCTGATCCCATTCTCTTCACACATGACTGACCTGTGGCTGATCTAATTCTCTTCACACATGACTGACCTGTGGCTGATCCCATTCTCTTCACACATGACTGACCTGTGGCTGATCCCATTCTCTTCACACATTATGCTTTCCCATGTTACTTTGAATATGTAACCTTTGCCATCTTCATCAATCCAGGTCTACAAATTTGCAGTAACACTAATTGACCACATTAACAGTTTCAGTCTTAGTGAAGTATTGACCACATTAACAGTTTCATTCTTTGTGAAGTATTGACCACATTAACAGTTTCAGTCTTAGTGAAGTCTTGACCACATTAAAAGTTTCAGACTTAGTGAAGTATTGACCACATTAACAGTTTCATTCTTTGTGAAGTATTGACCACATTAACAGTTTCAGTCTTAGTGAAGTCTTGATCACATTTACAGTTTCAGTCTTAGTGAAGTATTGACCACATTAACAGTTTCAGTCTTAGTGAAGTCTTGACCACATTAACAGTTTCAGCCTTAGTGAAGTCTTGACCACATTAACAGTTTCAGTCTTAGTGAAGTCTTGACCACATTAACAGTTTCAGTCTTAGTGAAGTCTTGACCACATTAACTCTTAGTGAAGTCTTGATCACATTAACAGTTTCAGTCTCATTGAAGTTTTGATCACATTAACAGTTTCATTCTTAGTGAAGTTTGATCACATTAACAGTTTCAGTCTTAGTGAAGTCTTGACCACAATACTTTTGTCAGGCTCAGTGATGTCTTGACCACATTACTTTTGTCAGGCTCAGTGAAGTCTTGACCACATTACTTTTGTCAGGCTCATTTTGATGCCTATTTTCAAAATGTTGGTTATTTAACCATCATCTTTTTCATACGGACTTTGTGTTCGAATGCTCTATCCAAATATTTCTGTATTGCAACGGTATAAAACTTGAAAAATACAAGTAATAAAAATATGATGTAGGGATGGCAGTGGCAAAAAGAATGCAAACAATATTTATGTGCACAAAGTATTGAGTATTCTACATGCTACAGTCATATAATCTTCATCTATTATTGGCTGGTAATTCCTGTTTCACCCTGTACTTAAGGTTTTTAAAGGAACAATAAATGTTTGAAAGAAAGATAACTTCAATAGGTAATGGTAACATCGTTTACACTATAATTATGATTTTTTTTTAATTACTGTTAGTTACTGCTGAGAAACATAGAGTGGATTTAGGTTTAAATTGATGTTTAAACCTAAATAAAGTGATAAAGTAGTTTTAGAGTTATCTCGACTGAAACAAGAAGAAGAAAGATGAATAATTTGGTGGTTTGGTATTTTAGCGATGGTTTCTTGCCTTGTTGGTTAGAGAAACAAATAAAAGTGAGCGGCAATCATCGTTTAAAGTAAAACTCTCTGTCATTGTTGATATTTTAGTGTGCATGTTTGTATTATGCTTATTGAGTACTCTGGCCATCCCTACAAACAGTTTACTGACCCTAAGATAATAACAAAGTGTGTTAGAAAATGTTCAAAACCTATTGTTTGGTCTATGTTTTTGAATCTTTTGTCTGAAGGGCAGTAGTACACTTGAACAAGATGAACAGAAACCTGAATGAAGAAGAAAATCTTTAAACAACAACTTAAACATGTTTGGTGGAAAACACAAGTTACAAGGCAGAAGTCAGTACTATCCCTGTTCTGTTGTAGACACGAATTGCTCACGTTAGATGATTTAAGATGTAGAATTCAATTCTTTTAGCCTCCAATAAACTACTTAAAACTTGAACATTTTGTTTCTAGGCTTCAAAGAAAGGAACTTCAGACCAACAAATTATTTGACTGCTTTATATACTTCCTGGTTACTACTTAATTCACTTCTTTTTTTCCCCTAATCATCTGGAGTTCACAAACAGTAGGAAGAGGGGGTCCTCCTTCTCATATTTATTACTTAAATTACTTCTTTTTTCCCTTTAATCATCTAGATTTCACAAACAATAGCTAAAGGGGGTCCTCCTCCTCATATTTATTACTTAAATGACTTTTTTTTCCCCTTAATCATCTAGATTTCACAAACAATAGCTAGAGGGGGTCCTCGTTCTCAAGTTGCTGTACCAGCGCAAGGAATGATAGAATTTCGTGATGCACTCACCGATCTTTTGGAAGAATTTGGCAATGAAGACGACGAGTTGTATGGTAATGAGATAGATTTTGTTAATAAATTAACATAAAAAAACTGAAAGAAGATGTACAATAAGACAGAGTTATCTTACGAGATTGCTGTAAAAATAAAAATAAGTATTTTCTCTTGTGTCTATTCTTCAACTTACCAGTTAGTCTTAACAGATTGTGAAATATTTAAAATTCCAATACAACGATTACCATATAGGATAGGCTGTGTGTCAAGTATAGTTAATGATTAAAATATTTTGATATTTGTACGTATAAAACTAGTTACCTTCAAACTTGTGTTAAAGTATAACATGTTTCACTTGCTTCTTTCCTTCATTGAAAGATGTTGAATTTATTCAAAATATAAGTTAGGAAACTGAAATAAACTCTGAATATTTGTTGACTTGGATACATTAATAACTTATTTCTGATTCTTTGGATTGACATATAGTTATAAAATTGTCTTTTTAAATCGAATTTAATTATTGTTTGTTTACAACAACACTGTTTCCTGTAAGTCAGGGTGTTGTTCTCTACTTTATTGAATTAAATGTAATTTTCAGATGCATGTTTCTCACTGAATATGTATTGTTTTTCTCTAACTGCCTCTGTAATGGCATTAAGAACAATGTAATGAATAAGGATCGTAGTAATCTTACATGTGTTTTGAAATGCTCTATTAATTGAGCCAGCTACCATGGCTCTCAACACAAGCAGGTTACTAAGCATCTTGACCCTAAGAATGTACTAGAAACTGTATTGTTAAATAAACATAAATTGTAATAGTTGAGAAATGCTTATTAACCCCCTCCCCCTTTTTCTTTGCAGGATTCAAGGGGGAGCTACCTGAAGCTCGTCGTATGCGCATAGAGAACAAGAATTTTTATTTCGATGTAGGCCAAAACAGCAGGGGAATTTATATGCGTGTATCTGAGGTAATGTAATTGTGCATTTTATGAATACAGTTAATTTTTTCATTCTGTTTCTAAGAGAAAAAGTAATAAATCATTATAAAGAATTACTTTTACTGTGTGAACAAACATGCTTCATGTAATGAATATCAGTTGCTGTCATTATTTGTTTAATTGCTAAAAACTAATTACTTTATATGTGATGTCTTCAAAGGGACAGAAACCAAGACCCAATCCCATTAGAAAAGCTGATGTGCTGTTTTCTCTTATAAGATGCCTAGCATGGCCTGGTAGCTAGGGCAATCAACTCACAATCAGCAGTGTGTAGAAATAAAGTCACAGCAGTATGTAGAAATAAAGTCACAGCAGTGTGTAGAAATAAAGTCGCAGCAGTGTGTAGAAATAAAGTCACAGCAGTATGTAGAAAT